CTCTAACATTCTGTGATTCTGTGAAAGCAAATATATTTAAACTACTGCAGATAGCTCAGACTTTCTATATTATATATATTTTTTATGCTGTTTCTGAGCTGGTTTGACTACAGAATGGGGCCTGAATCAACAGCAATGAGATGCAGTAAGCATCAGAGGCCACCTGTAGTCTACAATAGATATCCAGTCTCATGACCTCCCCTGTGCATTTCATTGTTTAATCTATAAAACACTGAACATCTTTTTTCTTCTGTTGAAGTTAACAGAACCTTACCCTGCCTTTCTGAAGTCATCAAGGTTGTTTGCCTAGAGATATTACCGGAAGTCAAAACTGAAGAGTTATATTGTATGCAGTTTTTCCACAGCAATTTCATAATCTATTTTCCACTCTTTTTAAACTGTGGTATAGCACACGCTTGTCTTGATTAGGAACATCTGCCCCATTACTCTCAAAAGACTACACTTCGTCTCAGTGTTAGATAAAGCAGCCTTTGCGTAACGGTTTAATCAACTTATGAAATAGTTTGGTGTTCCCAGAGGAGAGAATACTCCACAGAAATAGAAAACTCTTAAAGTTTTTTGTATGTTTTCTTAGAGCACTGTGAACCTTAGGTTAAATATGTGGTATTATCTTTAGTGCTTGCTAAATCACTCATTGCTACATGCATAGCTGTTTGCTCTTGGTGGGCTCAGTGGAATTGCATTTATTGAAAGAATGTTAAAGATTTTTACCTAGCAAACCAAAGCTTCACTGTGAAGGAAACTTACCATATAGAGAAGGATGAGGTTGCATGAAAAGCCTTCTGAAAGTTCACAGTCTATGTTAAAGTCATATCTTAGATTGTGTGATGCTACAATTAATTTCTTGAAACAGCCATGTTCTAGCTGAGCATTTCCCAAGTTGTGGTACTTACACAATTCATGGTATGCAAACTATTTTGAAGTGATGCAAAACTGGCTGCCTCTACCTTACGTGTGAAGATAACTGGGAACTGACACTCCTGGCACAGGATTAAGTTACAGTGCATAGTTCAAAAGCCTAGTTTGTCAAGACAGAGGGGAACTGACAGGAAAAGAGGTGATTTAGAACCAAAATCTCTTTTTCAGGTAATGGAGAGTAGAGTCGAAAGGTGTGTGAGGATGTGTTAATTTAGAAAATTATAAGTTATGTCCATACTGTCAGGGAACGTGAAGGTGTTGCTGGCGTAACTGTAGCAGTAGTTGTACTTGAACAGATTAGATTCAGGATTATCTGTTCTAGGAGACTGGTTCATTTCCTACATAGAAATTTATGTACGCACACAGATTTTTCTCAGCAGCTGCTCAGTTCACTACCACCATACAGATAAATACCTGCTTCTAGAGTGCTGTTGAAAATCAGTGTTTCATATGCAGTTTCCCAAAACAGATGTTTTTTCCGGTTGTGTACCTATATATATGTTCAAATTTTAAGTTTTTGTGGTTTTGACATTTTTTTAAAAGACAAGATAAAATGTGGTAGTGGTAAAAGCTATTAAGATTCTTTGCGTGTTCTAGTCTATTGAGGTAATGTTTTGGAGCACAGTGCAACACCTATAGTCTTGTGTGTGTTTTTTCTCAGTGATAAGAAAATTTTCTGAGAACATTGACAGCTAAACTGAAAAGAATTCCCTATAAATAATAAACAATGGTCACAGTCACAGAGGTAATAATTTTTAATTCCTAGTTGTCTTTAAACTGATGATAAACTGCTTTTTTCATCCTGCATACAGGGCAAGTATATTTGAACTTGGTTTGAAAATATGGTGGGTTTTTAACACCATTTTATGACTCAGGCAGTCTCCTAGCATTGTCCTTGCCCCAGAGGGTGTTTGAGGCTTTTTTTGCACTCTAGTCAATAGCTTATTATCTACTTCAGTATTAATGTTTCATGGGAGTTAAAACATTGTGGGGAGAAGGGGTGGTGAGGAAACAATATTCTACTGAGAAATTGAAGCACCTTGCTTTCCCTAGCCCCTGGCTCTAGTTTTGAGGTAGATTTATAACTCCATTTGCAGAATTAACTTTTCTCTCTTTTGAACACCTACTCTAATAATTTTGAAATTGAAGTTCTGTCACTTTGAAATGCTCTGACAATTGCTTTGAGACACAGGACTTTGCTGTGCAGCTTTTCACTGACTGAAGGGAAAAAAAAAAAAAAAAGAGACCATATTGCTCTAATAGAATGTTTGGTTTAAACCAGGATCACAGCTGAAGCAAAGTGTTCCTACAGGCAAAGCCTGAAACTAAACTGGCATCATCCGTCTCCTTCACACAAACTGTAGAATAATATGTAATTTGAATACAAACCACTGTTGTGTTTTTTAGACTGTTTATTGCAAAGAAATACATTGCTAGTATTCTCTAGCAGCGTCTGATCTGTTGGATTAAAACCATATGATGTGAAGCTGTTTTCAGCAGAATTCTGCACTCCCTTGTTCTCATTCAGAATCAAATCCCGTATCTTATTCAGAGCTTCATTAAGGGTGTATCTCTTTAGAGAATTTAGGCTAATAATGGTGCACACCATATAAAAACTTAAAGGACCTAGTACGGGTTTCAGTTAAAGCAATTTTTCATCAAAATGCCACCCACCCACTGTGCATAACGATTTGTGACAAACTGGTAATAGGGTTATGTAGGGACATGCACA